ATCGGTAACGTGGCGATGCTATTGAAATTCAAAACATCCAGCGTCGGCTTCCAAGGGATTTCGACACCAGGTGGCGTCTATTACGACGGCAGCCACGCCTTCTCGTCACCCCGACCCGCGCGCATTCTCGGCACCGCCACCGTGCGACTGCGCCCCTCCTGCATTCTCTACGAGCATGCGCAGGCGTTGACACACAATACCGCTGAAGACCCTGATCCGGTCCGGGAGCCGTCATCGACGTCGTCGGCCCAGGACTCGATGCACGGAGCCCAAGCTACGACGTCACCCGTCACCAGGACATCTTGGCTGAGCCACTACTATGTCGCCACCACGCGTTTGCGTACCTCGTCGTCTTTCTGTCTCAGTTAGCTGCTTTCGGTAACCTCGACCTTTACCTGTTCGATATCGACATATAATTTTCTTTCCAGTACACCTTTACAGCAACGTCAACATTCAAAGTTATATTTAGAAATGTTATTACGTCAATGTTGAATAGGACTGGGAAGGCAGATAATGGGCCGCCCATCCCAGATGTGCCAGCCGTGCTCTCTGCTGACACACACAGGGCTGGGCACGACGCTGGCCCCGAACGACGTCGAATCACCTCGGCACCAAGCGGACGACTCAACATAAACCCGCTTCAACCGGACTTCGCTGGGGCGGGGCTCCGGCCGGCCCGAAAGACGGCTCCAGTCGGCTTGGCTACCAGCAGACAGCCATCACGGCCGTCTCACCGGTGGTCCGACACTGCGCCTGTCGTCGACTACCTCTGCGCTCACGTCGACGTCTTCTCCCCGCTGCACAACGATCTTCCTGCAGTCCCGAAACACGCGCCGATCCCGCTCGCCTCAGAGAACGTCGCAACCCCTGGACTGCGATGCCGCCCGACCGGGCACCCGAGTCTCCACGGCCCACTGTCACATCCCGCGCACGCGCACCGGCGCCCCCCGCGGCTGTTTGCGGTGGTACGGCGCGGCAGCCGCCACCTGCCTGCGTTCGCGGCTTCGCCTCGGACTGTGCATCGCTGCTCTCTCGCTCAGGCGCTGCCCTGCTCTAGTGATGGTAGTCAAGACCGTCACTTCTACAACATCCACTATAAGATCTCCTGTCCCCCCCGCTCATCACACCGTACCGCTATACGTCCTTCGCCCTGTCCGCATACTCTGTAAAAGTTGAGCTCGCCGCGAAAAACTTGTTTGTAATGATTAGACGATGCTGCTGCGAATTGACATTGATATTTTTCCACCGAACACCCACCCCTACCTCTATCCTACTAATCCCTTACTATACTATCTACTATACTTATATACCAATACTATACCTTACACGCTACCGCTATACGTCTTCGCCTGCTACGATATTGGATAAAAGATTGAGCTTCGCGCGACAAAACGCTGCCTTTGTAATGAATTTAGACGATGGCCTGCCCGCGAACATTGAATTGATATTTTTTACGAAACCCGATAATATAATCCTACTCTATATATACTACTCACCTATACCTATACTATATCCATACTCATATACACGTACGCTACTCACGATCCTCTCGCCTCGTACGTATTGCTCAAAAGTTTGAGCTTCGCCGGAACACCTTGTTTCGACACATGATTCGACGATGGCTGCGCGACAACTTTGAATTGACTATTTTTACGAACGATATACCCTCCCTACTATACTTATATATTATATATACTATCTATACTATATTATATATATCACCTCACTACCCTACGGTGCTCTTAGCTTTATATATCCAATATAACAGCACACATTGATGTTAACTGATGGCTTATAATAATTCAAGAAACTAAATTTTCAACCATCTGGTCTTGATCATAGTTACGTATACGGGCAGTCACACGTCAGTCTACGTGAACTGTGATTAAGACTAGATGGTAAAAAATTTAGCTCTTTGGAACATTGCGTACACATATTATTATTAGACACTATACATACATACGCACCGCGTTTCATGTTATCCTCCGATGATACAGGAACTAACATGATGAACATACTATCCTTTCTCGAGAGATGGCCGCTGCAGAACTCATGTTCGCCGCTCCAGAGCAGTTGCAAAGCATTTCTTTCAAAAGAATTGGACCGACGGAACAAGCTTGTAACTGAAGCTCCAAGTGTTGAGGTTAATACTTTTATACCGCCCTCTCCTGCGGAAAGCCAGATGTAAGAATTCACTCAATGAATTAAGCTAACAGCCTAACACCAACGTGTCTTGTCTGCCGACTGGCTGCATACATATAGAATTACCCGGAAGGCTATACTGTTACATTAAACAGCCACGTATGCTATACTACGCCACACACACACGCACGCACGCTACGCAACGCACGCCGCAAAGCACGCAGCCACGCTGCGCGCACACACAACACACACACACACACACACACACAGCACGACACACCACCACACCATGTACGCATAGCGACCAGACTCTCAACTTTTACAATATCGTACAGGCGAAGACGTATACGTACGTGTAATACAACAACTCTATATATGGTTGTAAAGGTGACGTCCTTGCCGACCTCACTAGAGCAGGCATCGCCTAGCGAGAAGCACGATCACAGCCACAAGCCCGAACGCAGGCAGGTGGCGCTGCCCGCCGTTTACCACCGCAAACAGCCGCGTGGGGGCGCCGGTGCCGTCGCGGATGTACATGGGGATCGCGTAGACTCGGGTGCCCGTCGGCGGCATCGCATCCAGGTTGGCGACGTTCTCGAGCGACGGGATCCCGTGTTCGGGACTCAGGAAGATCTTGTGCACGGGAAACGTCGACGAGCCAGAGTAGTCGATCGACACGCAGTCGACACCGTAGACGCCGATGCTTCTGCTGTCGGCCAACCACTGAGCCGTCTTCCCGGCGAGCCCCGGCCAGCGATAGTCTGGGTTGAACGGGTTATTGACGTCCGCTTTGGTGCCGAGGTATTCGACGTCGTTCGGCCAGCGTCGGTGCCAGCCTGTGTTCAGCAGAAGCACGGCTCCATCTGGGATGCGACCATTATCTGCTTCCCAGTCCTGTTCAACATTGACGTAAACATTTCTAAGATACTTTGATGTTGACGTTTGCTGTTAAAGTTACTGGAAAAAAATTAATGTCGATATCAACAGGTAAATCGAGGTACCGACAGCAGCTAACGAGACAGAAAGACGACGAGGTAGCGCAAAACGAGGTGGTGGCGACATAGTTATCTCACCAAGATGTCCTGTACGGTGACCTCGTAGCTTGGGTCATCATCAGTCTTGCCGGACACGTCGATGACGGCTCCCGGACCGATCAGGGTCTTCAGCGGTATTTTGTCAACGCTCTGAGCATGCTCGTAGAAATGCAGAGGCGCATCCACGTGCGTGCCAGAATGCTCGCTCGTACAGAAGCGTTTCTCTTCGTAATAGACGCCACCTGGTGTCAAACCCTTGAAGCCGACGCTGATGTTGAATTTCAATAGCATCGGCCACGTTACCATGGCCGTGTTCGAATATTTGTGCGAGAGATCGATGATGTTCTCATCCACCTCACAACTACCTCGGTCCAATATGGCGGCAAGGAGAACTAGCGTTGCTATCAGCAGATTTGCGTTGCTTGCGGCAGCCATTATATTCATGCTTGTAAACAAGATAAAAAAAAACATGAAGACAATCCGAAGACTTACTTTACGTATATTTTATACCCTTAAGTTATCAGTTTATCGATGTTTTTATATCAATCAATTGATCTTTCTATCTCTCTATCTATCTATCTATCTATCTATCTATCTATCTATCTATCTATCTATCTATCTATCTATTATCTATCTATTATCTATCTATCTATCTATCTATCTATCTATCTATCTATCTATTCATCTATCTATTTATCCCTGTGTCTGCCTGTCTGTCTGTCTGTCTGTCTGTCTGTCTGTCTGTCTGCCTGTCTGTCTATCTGCCCAAATTTTTATCGATATACTGAATCCTAATGAGAAAAGAAGCCAAAACTTACGCAGCTAAGAGTGTTCACATCGCCTCTCTCTCTCTCTCTCTCTCTCTCTCTCTCGGGCAGTGCTCTGTTTGTGCTCTGGGTGTTGAAACACACATGTTTTTATTTACATTCCTGAATCCCTGACATTTTTACACGCAGGCGTAGACAGATCGGCTACTAGCGCTCATAGGGTCTATGTCCCCCAGGGTGCTGCCGGAACGTACCCTGGTAACTATTTGATATGATTAGGGTTAGGGTTAGGGTTAGGAGTAAGCGTAGGCGACTCCCTAGACTCGTTAGTGGAGTAGCCGAGGTACGGTCCGGCATTTAGATAGTACCAGGTGGGTTACGTTCCGGTATACCGGACCGTACCCAGGGTACGTTTCGGCAGTATCCTGGGCGACATAGACCCTCTCAGCGCTACTAGCAGTACACAACATCTGTTTTACACGTGTTACATGACTAGCTAGACAGAGCGTCGCGCAACAAGATGCGCGGCTACATTGATGTATTAGAGAGAATGGTAAACGTGGTTAGGTTAGACAGATTAGAGGGTCATTGTGAAATGGGGGTAGGACGGTTGGAACTGGGAGGAACGGACTTGGACAGGACGACGAGACGGCGACTGTTGTCTGTAAACAATATATTTCTTTAGTTGAACACAAATTATATATGTCTTCTTGATTATTTCTACTCTAAATTATTACATACAAAATACATTCCTACAACAGTTCAAAATATTTATGTTACTTTGACTCAGTTTAGCAATTTAGGGTCTGTGCAAATGTCTCATATTTCTTTAGGAGAGGATGTTTGTACGCTCCATTTTTCTTAGGTGACGTTTTGCAAACTCATCTATTATCTGTTTAATATCAAATGGAATGTCTCTATAAATGCAGGCCCGTGGGGAAGTAGGGAAGGGGGTGCGACGGGTGCCCCCCCCCCACATAGGCTGCGGAGGTCCACTTTTTTGTGGACCAGCGATTTAAAAGAAAGTGAAATAATAAAGACTTGAGCTTGGCACACTACTGAAAGATGATCAGCAGCAAACCTAGTGAATAATACGGATTTACAACTTTATTTCTATGTTTATTCTTTTTAAATAGTGACATTGACATTGTTATTCTCTAAAATTGTAAAATACATGTTACATAAAGTAGTCTGTTTGCCAAAAAAATCCATTTTGAAGTTCAAAAATTTGAGAAATGTCCACGTTTTGAGGTTCGCTTTTGGCTGCCTGTTTTCATATCATACTGCCTTCAAAACGCGCGAAATGCAGTCTCAGACAACCTAATTCTCAAAATTTTCCGGAGGGCATGCCCTCGGACCCCCCTAGAGACTGGCGCCTCCGGCGCTCGTTAGGTCCGTATACTCGTTGGATCGCACCCTCCCGTAAAAAACCTGCCTACGGGCCTGGAATGTGAATCATTGCCAGGCCGGTTATAAAAAGAATTATTTTTTATTTTTTATTAAAAGAATATATTCGCCAGCTATTTAAAGAATATAAGCGAAAAAAATATAAAAAATATATTTATATTTAGCGAGAGCTAATATACATTATATTAATTTATATTATAATATTTACATTAATACATATATATTAGTAGATAATTTTTGTTAGTGTTTTATTGATTTTTTTTAGTTTTCTTTGCTTTTCACATAAGTATATGTTTAAACATATTTCTTTTAAACCAACCTGCCACAATTCTTTTTCTATGGCAGTGTTCATGTAGGAAAGGCGCTCGCGTCGCTGGTCGGGTTGCCAGCCAAGAAAATTTATTTCGGCAAAACCTGGGCGCTCAAAATGGGCAAGGGTATGCCCGGGAGAGATGTGAATAGCAAAATCCGCCCTAGAAGTTTCACTGTGGCCGCAGAGCATCCCGCTACAATCCTTTTCCTATGCTAATGTAGGCCCTACATATGTATGGCGCTTGCATCGCATCGCTTTTTACATTTTTTTCGCTTATATTCTTTAAATAGCTTTTCATAACCGGCCTGGCAATGATTCACATTCCAGGCCCGTAGGCAGGTTTTTTTACGGGAGGGTGCGATCCAACGAGTATACGGACCTAACGAGCGCCGGAGGCGCCAGTCTCTAGGGGGCCCGGGAGCATTCCCTCCGAAAAATCGCTGGTCGGGTTACCAGCCAAGAAAATTTATTTCGGCAAAGCATTTGCGCTCAAAATGCGCGGGTGTATGTCCGTGAGAGATGTGAATAGCAAAATCCGTCCTAGAAGTTTCACTGTGGCCGCAGCTATGGGCCGCAGCATCCCACCACAATCCTTTTCCTATATCCTAATGTACATAATAATGGCGCTTGCATCGCTGGTCGGGTTGCCAACCAAGATAATTTAGTACGGTAAATCTTTAGCGCTCAAAATGAGCAGGGGTATGTCCGAGAGAGATGTGCTTGGTAAAATCTGCCCTAGACATTTTACTTTGGGTGCAGCATCCTGTCACCATGCTTTCCCTACCCCCTGTTGAATTATTTATTGTACATTAGAGGGCGCGCTCGGCACCGAAAATGGCGCCCCACGTGTAAAAAATTATTTCGTTATCCGCGGGAGTTTGACCACACTCTACAACACAACCGAACAAGTTTCAGTTTGTGTCAGGGTTACTTTATTGTATTAACTGGAAAATTAAATCATGGCATGTAAAAATCATATAAACACACAGGACGAGTCTACCAGACAGAAGGTTTTTGTCGTAAATGGTGAGAATTATTGGCATTGCCAGTACGCACTACTACTAGTACAAGTACAGTACGGTACTCAGTAGTCACTCACAGTGTCACTCAGTACTGACAGTAGTACTAGTACTAGTAGTAGTAGTAGTAGTAGTAGTAGTAGTAGTAGTAGTAGTAGTAGTAGTAGTAGTAGTATTAGTAGCAGTAGCAGTAATAGTAGCAGTAGTAGTAGTATTAGTAGTAGTAGTAGTAGTAGTAGTAGTAGTAGTAGTAGTAGTAGTAGTAGTAGTAGTAGTATACTATAATATATAGTATATCAATTTATCATATATGTAGTAGCCTAGCCGCTGATCGAGTACTACTACTACTAGTACTAGGCTAGGCATACACTTCTGTGGTGTGGGTGTCACTCCCAGTCCCATACTATTACTAGAGCTCATAGGGTCTATGTCCCCCAGGTTACTGCCGGAACGTACCCTACCCTGGGTACGGTCCGGTATACCGGAACGTACCCTGGTAACTATCTATAGCTGATATGGTTAGGGTTAGGGTTAGAGTTAGGGAGTAGGAGTAGGCGTAGGCGACTCCCTAGACTCGTTAGTGGAGTAGGCGAGGTACGGTCCGGCATATTAGATAGTAGTATTTAGTACCAGGGTATGTTCCGGCAGTACCCTGGGGGACATAGACCCTATCAGCCATACTATATGGTACGCATGCTCGTCAAAGCATCTCAAAATTGGACCCTAAATGGCGTATTCAGCGGTAGCAAATTTCACGCCTTATTGGCATAAGATAATATTAATAATGTAAATCTCACTCTAGATACAATCATCATATTCATAATGTAACCCAACAAGAGTAGGTAGTTTTCTATGTTGTACTCTTGAGTCTTGTTGGGTTACATTATTGTATCTAATCTCACCCCTAAAACGGACCCCTAAATGTCGTAGCACAATAAATTGGTCCCTTACGTTGAGACTAGAAAACCTGGCTAGAATATCCCTTTGAGAATGTAAGCAAGGAAAGTGACCCTTGTTGATTGGGCAGTCATAGTAACGGAGGTAGACTCGGGAGAGATCGAAGGAAAGACACAACACTACGGTTTCATTACACGGTGAGAGGATTTATAGGTTCCCGTTTATTTTCCACTGTAGATGGCGCCACTGTACGGGCTATACATTTATCATACATAGAGCAATCGTGCCCTGGTTATCTTCATAGATCACAACAGATCCACGTTGACATCCTCCACTGACATCATTTGACAACTGAGTAAGGTACAGGCTTTCCTGTACCGCTGCTGCCAGTGCCATGTACTCTGCTTCGCATGATGACAGGGCTACTGTGGGTTGCTTCCTGGATTTCCAAGAAATCAGGGCACCAGCTTTAGATAAACTGAAACAATAGCCAGTTGTGCTGCGCCTATCTTCTACCGAAGATGCCCAGTCAGCATCACTGTAACCCATCAACTCTAGGCCTTCCTTACACTTTCTTTTCCCGTTTATTTTCCACTGTAGATGGCGCCACTGTACGGGCTATACATTTATTATACAGGGTGAACCAAGAGTAAACATAAACTACACTAAGTTTACACTCTAACCACCCTAAACGTCGAAGGTTAACCTACCCCTTTTTCTAAAGACGTTGTCGCCGCTACAGGGTCAAAATCCGACCCTTTTTTGACGGTTTCTCGACGAGCATGCGTACCACTTTAGTATGGGAGTGACCCCCCCAGAGTTCACTGTACACAACAGTCACAAGGTCTGTCGATTTTTGGATCTAATCTGGCAGTTGCTATTGACATTGCATGAGTCTATGTTAATGGTAGCTCCAATAAATGGCCGTATAACGAAAGGCCTTCTGTATAATACACTGTCCATCAATACACTGTATAGACGTAATTATCATCTCACAGTCTGGGGCTGAGACTGAGCATGAGCCATGAGGCTGAGCCTGCTTGAGAGATATCGGTTGTGCCAGAGTTCGTCATTGTTGGCACTGTGTTACGTGTAGCCTTTGCTTCACATTAGGAATGACGGATCACTAATCTGTTGCAGAGTGAATAGAGACTCTGGTAAAGCCATGCTTCAACTGACCTGTGGCGCAATCTGGGTCCAGTCTACAATAGTAGATTCAAACTATGCTAGTACTTCTAGTAGTAGTAGCTCTGCCAGAATGCCAGTAAGACCACTGGAATGCTGCCACTGGCCTGGATGATGGCCTTGTAAGCAGGATCTTGCTAATACAGACAGCATATAGTGATATACATTGCATCACTAAATTGTAGCATTTAAAGTGTACCCTATATACATACAACTGGATTATAATTAGAAATGAAATGTTTTTGCTTTGCAGAGAAAGCAGTATCAGGAAAGGATGGGATTGAGGCTCGAGTTGTTAAATTGAGACATCCGAAAACAGGTAATTGTTAAATTGACTCTGTCACGAATTTTCTATGGTGCATATTTGTAAAAAATTTTGCTGCCATTTTTTTACATTTTAAAAGTAAGTACTAACGGGACTAAATGTATCGTCAAATTCTTACCTGATAAGACTGTTTCTCAACTAGGTAAAAATCCAAAAAACCTGGACGATTTGATAGGTCCTGACATTAATTGCTTGCTATAGGCTATGTATGAGTCACGAGTGTATGTTTACATCGAACAATATAGTAAAATAGGAAGTATAATGCAGCAATTTAACCATAAAAAGTTAACAGAATTACTTACATTTTGTGAAAAAGTGGATCTTTTTTTTTTACTATTTACGGTGACGTAATCACTTTAAAGCTGAAGTGTTTGTGCAAGCTTATAGTATACACCAGTTTCCTTGTTCACCTGCCTTTCACTTATTCATAGCATTAGGTATTTCATCAGAATGTGCTCTGTCTGACATACAGGTTTTCTCGATATTATATATAATACTTGTTTATCATATGTTATTCGTTGTACTAGATCAAGGGGCAGTGTACCTGTTCTCTCCAGATGGAAAAATTGTATCTGAGGTCTTACAGTTTAAAGAACCATATCGTTCCTGGTTTATTGGTGACAGTGTTCAGTCAGGTAGGATAACTTAAGATTTATTATTAAATTTATTATTATTTATTTATTTAAATTTATTATTTAAGCAAATATATTTACACACTGTAATATGAAACATTAAACTTGACAAGTTTTTCTACATGTCAGTATATATGTGTGAATAATAGTACTGTGGGTAACTCAGGTCAAATTACTTTTTGCATCTCCATAACATTTACTATCAATTGTTATTATATATATATATGTTTATTGTTTACAGATGGAAGCTTTTCTCTTTGTACACCTGTGGATCCCATCTTTCTGATATTACCATATCTCATCAAAAGCAGCCAGGTCTGTAAAGTTAGTTGTAAGTTCTTCATTGTCGTCCCCTATTGACCCAGGTAGTTGGATCAAAGCTGATTGACATGTTTCAATTGGGCTTTACTCACTGTAGTTATCCAGTGAAATATAATTGTACAATTTCACCAAAAATCGGTCATATTTTTAATGTGTCAGGCTGCTTACAGCAAAGTTTCATTTTAGGGATACATTTAATGGTCAGATGAACTGCCTAGCCATTTATTCATATTTTTTATTTAGAATGGCAAGTTTCAACTTCTAGACCAGGTTTTGATGGATGACGAGTTCCCACAGTGCTGCCATCTACTAAATTGTTCAGGAATAAGTGGCTTGGATATGATAACAGATACAAAAGGTAAAATTATTTATATATTATCTAACTATGAGTTACTAATTCCCACACAAGATTATTTTTAAACTTTACATCAATTTAGGTTAAACATATGATATTAGCCCGTTTGTTTTTATAAATTCAATAGGTGATGCAGATTTGAAGGCATACAGATTTAATCAGGACAAGTGTCTAGAATTTCTTAGACAAAAGGTAGGCAATTATCATTTGTAGATTTGTAACATACAGCATTAATGTAAAAAGGGTCTAAAATATAATTATTGGCAATTTCATGTTGGATTCATTACATTTGGTGAGGCAGAAACCTATGAGAAAGCTTTCTCATTGTGTGATTTGAAAATGCAACTGCCCATCCTAGACCATTAAAAGGCAAATATTATATAATGGATGATCATTCTGCTGTCACATAGTATTCTTTATTTGTATGAAAGGTGCATGCAAATATTATGCGTTACTTTGCAGGTAGAACTAACAGCATCACATCTGAAGAAAACCTCTGTTAATGTGTCTGCTGGTTCTCAAGCAGCTGTATTTGTAAAAACTGCCACTGAAGGTAAGTGCAGATAGTGTTAGTGAGGGGGATCGAACTTAGGAAATAAGACCGAGAAGAAGAAAGAAGGTGAAAGAAAAGGGAGAGAGAGAGAGAGATGTGAATTGCTGTTTTTATAATTTTTATCATAACGTTCAGGGGTAGAAATTAACTTTTGAACACGGGAGTCCAACGGACTCCCTAACCTCAAAAAGAGGGAGTCCGCAGCAAAATGAGGGAGTCCGCAGTCTGAGGTTCAAAATTAAAGATATTAACAATAACGCATGTGCTTATTTTTAAGATTCATGCGGTTGCACATCTGCCAAATTTTCTTTGGACATTAGCTGAAAAAATACGGTAATTCCGCGAGGCCGTGCTCTGGAACGAACTAGTTAGTATAGCATAATTTTCAGGGAGTCACACGGACTCCTGCATGCGTCAAATCAGGGAGTATTTGACGCCGGACTCCCGTTAATTTCACACCCTGACGTTTTTATGATTATATTTGGTAGGTGAGTACAAGAAATATGCTTGTGACCTGATAGCAGCTTACCTCTCTGTTGAGTTTGCAAAAAAGCTACATTCATATCTTGGGTAAGTAGATTGTAAGTGAACCTAAATAGGTCAAAAATTGTCTAGAATAGAATCTCGTTGTCATTTGAAATGTATGAATCCTCATTTCTTTCATTATGTAAATGATTTCTTGCATGCTTTCCTAAATTCTAATTTGATATGTTTGATGGGAAATGTACTGATATATTTTATAGTTGAATTTATCCAGTATGATATTTGTTAATAACTAAATTTACGTCACAGCACTGAAGATAAGACTGATGTTAAGAAGGAAATCCTATCATCACCAGAAGACCAGCCTCCTACGAAGGTATGTCATACTAATGGTTTAATTTCGCAGTAAATCCTTACATTGACTATTGCAATAATTTATTGTTTTAACAACTGGTCTGTTGTTTTTGTTAATCTGTTTTGTCAGCCACTTTAAATTGCCAGCAGATGGCAGACACGATGTCCAGATACGCATTAGATGGTGGTAGCACACTTTGGGTCAGGGTTCATAGTAGTAAGTCACATGTTGAAATAAGGACTTATAAGACCTTTTCTGAAGGCCAAAATAAGACTTTTTTACGCGATTTCTGATAGATCACCGACTATTAAAGTACACTAATAATATTTATATACACAATTGCACAGCAGATTTAATTATTCCGTATTATATATACAACAATTCTTACTCTAAGTCGAGAACAGTTTAGAAAACAATGATCCTTTGGCAAAAAATAAGGACTATTAAGTACTTTTCTAAGATTTCACCAAAAATAAGTACTAATAAGGGCCCTTATTTTATTTTTAACAAAATAAGTACTAATAAGACTGGAAGACCCGCTACGAACCCTGTGGGTCAGACTGTTGAATAGGTTTCAGTAGGTTCTTGTATTCATGTGATAATTCATACTAGCTCTTGTCTATTAACATTCATGAGGCCTTTTTTGAATGACAAGAAATAATGGCTTAATGCATTTCCGACATAGTCTATTCTCAGTCACTATGGTTACAAAATGTGTGCAGCACAAGCTATTCGTGGTTTGCTCTAACAAGCTCAAGTCATTATTTGCTGGTTTCTTCTACAGAGAATAAAGATGGAAAAACAATGCTCAGAACCCACGGAAGACTACAGTAAGACAAGTGGAAACACAAAGACTCTTAGTGTAAGGGTAATGTATTGCATGAAATATGATCTGTGCATCCAACGAACAGCATCACAGCTTTGTATCACATCGCTTAATTGACTAATGATTGCAAACGAAGTAGTAACTAGTAGATGATTGAATTAATCTTCTGAAATTCAGGTTGGCAAGATGAGCAGAGGACAGAAGGTACTGAGTAAAGTCGACAAGAGTGGTATGAAAAGCTTGTCTAGTTTCTTTTCACCGAAGGTTGGAGCAAAGAAGTAACCAGTTGCAACAGCATCATTTAGCATTGAGAGAGTAACTGGTTTGGTACATGTAGCGGTTGGTCGCTCAGGCAACCCGATAGATTAACGGTGAATATATAGCATTTCATTTATTTTGTTCACTGTGACCTTGTAATATAATTTGTATATAACGTCTTTGAATCAGTCACTGCTAGCAGGAGCTGTATTCCTTGTTAAAAAATGACCAAAAGTCATTGAAATGTGTTTGTACACAATCCAAGCCAACAGTCACTTGTTTAATATTGACAAGAGTTCTTACATTCACTTTTTTCAACTTGTCTGTACAATAAAACGTTTCGATCGTACTCATCTCACTAGTACATTGTGATATACCATCTCTGTAGAATTACTCACATGTACTTTCATCACTTCACAATAAATAAGGACTGCAGCTTTCACGTAAATGGATAGAAAATGTTAGATTTCCTGTTTCCGACTAAGCATCACGGTAGTTTGCACATGTATACACTGGTTATCAGTGTCAGTCGATTTCTTCTCTCATGTCGGAGCACTTCATCATTTCAGATGTTTCCCGGTCTTAAAATGGCAGCTTGGAGCACAGCAGCCTCCGTTAATTCATCGGCGGGTCACTTCCTTCTGCACGTCTTCCGTGAAAGCTTCGCTGAACGGTGAAGTTTTAACTTCTCGGCCGCTGTCTGAACGCGTGCCACTGGGACATGAGGGGCTCCCTCCTTTTCCAGATTAAATCACTACCATACTTCACGTACCATCTGCAATGTAATACAAACGGATAGCTAATTTGGGGGGGGGGTCAACAGCAACAGTTATGCGAGTCCTGCCTAGGTGGTAGTTAGCCGATTCGAACATGGCAGACCCACATCATCACATGCACGAAACCACCTATCAGCAGCCTAAGCTACTTTCACGACAATGATAATCCTAATAGCAATATGCTTAAACTTCATCTAAGGCCTAAGAAAAAAAGATGTTTGTTTCCGCTAACAAGCTGAAAAAAATTGGACACGGGAGGCAGGCAACTTTTTTTATTAAATATTTTTTACTTTTTTGTGGTATTCGAACAATACTTACAGCCCATATAATGACTTCAAAGTCAAATCAATTCATTCACCGAAAAATTCGACACGGGGGGGGGGGTTAAAATGGACTCGGTCGGGTTAGCAGAAACAAACGTCTTTTTTTTAGGCCTAAGACAACCTGTCATAAGGTGCCAGTGGAGAAATAGTGGCTGTGCACTTACATGCCAAAGAGACAACCACCCAAATGTGCAGCATGGTCAAACACTCGCCAGCCTAACATTACGCCTGCTGTGTCCAATGCTAGCACTGCCTTAATTCCCTGTAACAGAGACAAAAACCACAATATAATACTTGACAGTCGTGACAAAAGTTGGTACAGCTCGTGCACGTGCATCCACAAAAATGGATAGCCAATTCATATAGCATGGCCAGAAAAGTAGGATGATGCCTCACCCACGGGCACCACCGACAAATACACAGCCTGAACGGCTTTTCTATTGCAAAGCACAAAGGATGTAAAGTAATGCCAAATGCCAATGAAAGACATAAGATGCCAATGCTTACACTGCTAGCAGTGAAGGAGAACCAGGGAAGAAAGAGGATGGCAAGCTGAGCTTGTGGTATCTGTGTGCAGACAGATCCCAGCACCGACATAATGGCTCCAGACTGTCGAGAAATGAAAAGAAAACAACATAATAGTATCTCAAAGATAAAAGAACGATGATACCCCTAACGAGATTACCAATTACCGAAGTGGAGCACAGTAAAACACTAGAAAAAATCATGGAAGACCTGTGCTGATATTTAGACAAGGGTTAGCTCCTGGGGCACATAGGAAGAAAGGTGTTGGCACACAAGGCTGTCGACTAGTTCGTAGCAACCCAGCCCGGGAGTTCTAGATGGAATCATTTGCGTGATACAGTGATATATATGTGATCAGTGTGATAATTGCCCATTGGCATGATATTGCTGTTGACAGCTGAGTTATGGTAAGCGACAGCTCATTTATCGATAACCTACATGCATTGGCTGTACTTACAGCCCCAAGTGATAAGCCAGGTCTGACTATAGCTGTCTTGTGTAGGTAACTTGCTAGGCTTGATATCACACCTACCAAAAACACGGTTTCGAAACTGATCAAACTTGCGCCTTCTCTGTACACATCTGATTAGCTGCATGATTATTAATTCATATAATTATTATTATATTATTAATTGCATTATTACATTATTAATTATAATTATAATTAATAAAACTATTAATAAAGTTATTATTTACCAATTAGATATTGTGTTTTACCTGCGCTGAGATACATAGCTAAGAATTGCTCCTTTCCTAGAATATTCACTATGGTAGTGGAAAATGTCCACAGGACATACATGTTGGCCGCTAAATGCCAAACCGAGAAATGGCTGAAGCTAGACAAGACCATCGGTAGGCACATGGCTTCTGAAAAAAATTATGCTTATTACAATTCAATATAAGGCAATTCATTTGTTGGGTGATATTGGAAGTAAGAAATCTTTGAGCGATTAACACAAAATGCCTGATCCACAACATGGTTTCACAATTATTGAACTCTTACTTGAGGCTGGATTCGAGCAGAACCACTTTGCCATCGCTGGTTGGAACCGAGGAATTTTCCATGCAAGAAATACAAGTGCGTTGATTCCTATGATGGCAGTGGTCACCTTTTGACCCTCGGACAGACTGTTCCACACCCTGTTCACCTGTTCCGTAATCAAATAATAATTATTAGAATTGTGCCAGACTCCACGTGCCAATGAACAACAACTTCATCGATAATCTTTGCTTCACACAGAGCTTCAAACCAGTGAAGCATCTCACTATAATAACAGCCATCACATTTATCTCATTTGAAGATCGGTAAGCTACATCGCACTTACCCGTTGCCTGAGGGAGCTGAACTTATAACGAGGAAACCTGTCTGTGTACATGTCCTGCGATCGCTGTGCGAACTGCTGTGCTCTTGTCAACATGTTCTCATATTGCCAGATTGCACAGCCAGCAAAGCTTCCTGCCGAGAACTGCAAAACCATGTCACAGGTATTCTTTGTGTTCAGGGGTAATAACGATACACTCCCACCACTACAGCTCCAAATTCGCTGGAACTTCCAAATTCAGATATACTATTTGTTTGCTTTTTTCAAAAAAAAAAAACTATACAGAGTGATATATGTCATCTTGGAATAAGTTCGTTGCATTTCATGGTAATACTATGAGTGCTTTACTTTATGATAAACTACATAATTTTAACCTGTTAGCAACAGTTTTGAAATCTGGTCTAGTCGTCTTTGAGAAATGAATAAAGTTGCTTGACCTTGTCACCAGATAGCGCTAAGTGACATCCCTCTAAGGGCCAGTTGAGAATTTAGTAGCTGCAATGGAGAAACCTTGATGATTACTAAAACAGAAGGATCGCTATTAAGTTAGAGCCAAACAAATCAGGACCTAATGGACCATAACACACATAATCATAAACAAAAGCCCAAGACCCGCCCAGCAAAACCAAGGGTCGCTACCAATGGCAGCCAATTCACTTCTGGCTCTTGCCACCTAATGCCATCTGGGGACAAGCTCAAGCAAATTTATTTGTTTCTATATGGGCTTATCATAAAATAAAGCACACATAATCGGTACATTCTGTCTTATAAAACTATAAACTATTTAAGCTGTACCACAACTGTAAATGCCAAGGGTTTCAGCAGCTTTTTAAAGCTGACATCTGACATTCCCCCATGTGGCTCCACTCTTGGGGCGATCTCCAGGCGCTTGGATTTTCCTGGAAACGTGTAAAATTAATCCAATTAGTCTATAACTAAATGGTTTTTGAACTGATTTCAATCATTTGAATTATTGTGGCAAGAAGCAGTTAGGAATATATCATGATATTGTTCTTGTTATTCTAATTAACTGATCATCATTACAGGCTTTCCACAGTAAGGACATATTCATAGCCATCACCATCACCTTTACAATAGAAGATTTTATGAGCATTGTGACGTGTGATACTGTACATTGATTTCAATCATATTATTTCTCACTAAATTACACAATTTTTCAGAAAGCATTGTTAAACCTTATTAAGACGAGGTTAGGCGGTTTAATACCTGAGGAGTTTATATCTTTATTTCTCATGAAGAAACGCAGTGACGTTTGTTTCTGAAGAGGTGATTTTAACAAACCTCTGCTTCGTCCCAAACAGCTCAGTTTGGAATATGGTAGCATGATGAATGCTTTATACTAAATACCTGAAAATGTATTACAATATAACTACTTTAAACATGTGACTGCCCTAAAAGTTCAACTCACAATCACAAGTAACGATTAACATTAATATTAATAATACCAATATCATATTTCATCCATTATTTACAACCAAAACAATCAAAATCATAGTTTTACCAGTACTGTTAGTGTTACTGTTGCTGAGAGGGTCTATTTCCGCCAGGGTACTGCCGGAACGTACTCTGGGTACTAAATACTACTATCTAATATGCCGGACCGTACCTCGCCTACTCCACTAACGAGTCTAGGGAGTCGCCTACGCCTACTCCCTAACCATATCAGCTAGATAGTTACCAGGGTACGTTCCGGTATACCGGACCGTACCCAGGGCCAGGGTACGTTCCGGCAGTACCCCCGGGGGCATAGACCCTATGAGTATGAGCGTTACTGTTACAGTGACTGTTAGTGTTGGATGTTGCTATGTATGTATTGAGTAGGCCTACATATCTCTAATAAAAATATTATTTACTGGCAAGTTATTTAGCCCGCCATCACAAATATGTGGATACCAGTGATATAACCGAGTATGTATATGATAATGTTAAGTCTATCATAACAAATGTTGCGTCAGACGAAGTCAGTCACTGAGTATCCTGTCAGTGTCAGTGTCACTGTCACTGTCAGGACCACAGGACACCGACGGTGAAATACCTAGAGGCAGGATGTCAAGTTCCTGCGATTCAGGTCAAATGTTAGAATTTTTGCAACAGTATGAGAAGTTACTTGATAGAAATGTATAATAGTGACACTCATTTCCGATTTAAAATACATGCATTCACAAACTTTTCTACAATGGGCGCTGCCATCTTACATTTATGACATCACATTGTTCAAGTGTTAAAGTTTTTGCTAAACCGTAAACGCATTTCATACCGTATAATATCTTATATTACTTTAATTGTCAATAAATCTCCCGCAAAACTTCCTGTAATACGGAATGGTTGAATGATATATCGCTTCTATACATACAGTATCATTTACCATTTATCATTTTAGCATTTAGTATCACCATCGTTGACACATTTACGATGATGATGATCGAAGTTTAGACTGGTTCCACGCCTCCGTAAACAGTATATTCGCTAACCAGAAAAGTTATGTGATGTCAGACCATAGTGGTCAGACATTGCTGTCGGCATTATTCGGGTAACTTCGGAAAAGCATGGCTGACTTTGTGTAGACAATTCATTATTAAGACAGTAGCTAAACTACTTCGCTTTGTCAACGTAGTTTTGAACTGTGTAATACACCTACAGTATTCTTGTGAGGTAGGTGCGTGCAATCGTGGCCATTTTCCAGTTCCCCATTGGTCTAAGTCTGTTTAAGTGCACGCCTAGACTGACTAAGTCATTTTAAAGTTATTTGGCAATGGCGGTTATCCGGTAATAGGACTAGTTAGTGTTCCTTACCCTTAGTTAGTTAGTAATAGTTAGTTAGTTAGTTAGTTAGTTAGTTAAGGATAATGGGTTGTGATAGGCCTAGCCTAATATGCACCCATACTTTGCGATTTCATGGGCCCAAGGATAGAGATCATGGGTCCCAATTAAACCAATGTGCCTAACCCTGACCCCTAACCCTAACCCTAACCATAACCATAAGGCCGATGAAAGTTGATGTCATGGTTCTCGTCAGCGCCCGCATCAAATTTTACTCCCGCACCAAAAAAGTTCAACACTCATCGCTGACGAAATTCCCGCATCAAAAAGTGCCCATATAAAATTCCCGCCTCAAAAAATCAACAATCTACAGTCAGCACTACATGTATGGAAGACAAACAGTAAAAATTTGACTAAAAACTGTCAACAAAGAAGTTACGACATTTTTCAATCTTATTTTGCATATGTACAAGACCTGATACCCTCACTTAAGTTCTATTGGTTTGTATATGAAAGATGAATGTTGATCTAAATCCCTAAATCTCAACAATGCCTGACGAGAACCATGAAATCAACTTTCATCGGCCTAACCTATTATATTGATATAATATTATATTTATATTGATGTAAATGACATTGGTTTTATTGGGACTCTATCCTTGAACCATTTCATGAATCGGTCGATTCTGTCCTTAAATACGTTAGTAATAGTAGTGGTAGCTGCGACTGCACTTTGTGGGAGTTTATTCCAGGGTTGCACCACTCTCTGGCTAAAAAAGTTTTGTTGCACCTGGAGTCTGGACCCACAGGCACTTGAAGCTTTTCAATAAAATATAGTGTAAATAAATACGAAATCTATTTACTACCAAATTCTTAATGTTTCTATACTCTCTTTCATCTATTATTGTCGACAGTTTCCTGTAAATTTTGTCCAAATCCTATTTGCAACATACGCTTGCGGCCGCCATTCCTCACGCTGCTGCACTGTGCACACTTACACTTATATATATAGCAGGTAGGAAAGCGTGCTGCCCAAATTCGCTCGACGCTCGCTGGATTTCACACGAAATCTACAACACAAATATTCAACCATTCTACTCCATCTTTGTTTCTATTTCAACAACAGTGTTTACTTGTTATAAAAACATACTGTCTCTGTTCGTAACCGAGCTGTGTCACGCGAAATCACACAAAGACTGACGAAATTCTCGCGTTCGCTAACGTTGCCCAGTAAATGTAAATGGCTGTCAGAATCAGGAAACACCCACCGGCGCTCTTCGTGACCTCATTCTTACGCTGCAACGTTTTTGCAACGCTCCAATGGCGAGGCTCGTATGGGAGTTGGAAAACAGTGCGCCACCTATAGCCCATAGACTGGTACTTTCTCCCACCTCTCAGCTTAGCTTAGTTACTCAATGGGTAATCGAGGTGGGAGCAAGTACCAGTCTAATAGCCTATGTACTTGCAGTCATTTACATTTACTGGGCAACGTTAGCAAACGCGAGAATTTCGTCAGTCTTTGTGTGATTTCGCGTGACACAGCTCGGTTACGAACAGAGACAGTATGTTTTTATAACAAGTCAACACTGTT